GCAGAATAATCCTACCATTTCCCAAATTCCTCTTATCGTCATCTTAATATTCAAACTTAAAATTCTGCTGAAATATACAGCAGAATATAATCCTATCATTTCCCAAGTTCCTCTTATCGCTATCTTAATATTCAAACTTAAAACTTATAGTTTTAGTGGTTCTAATGGTTGAAAACCTCAACACAGGGAAAAAGTTGTCCACCACCGAATTATAAAGATTTAGGTTTAGTTTGACGGTATTAATTTATAGTTACAGTTGTAAGTTTTTTAGTTTTTTAATATTTTAAAAACATATGCTTATGACTCTTCAAGTTTAATAACATTAACCACATTGAATAAATATACCAATTTTCCTTAAACGGATTTGATCTCAACTCATGTCAAATTATTCAAAAATATATATAATATTTAACATTTATTTTAATTAATATTTTATATATTTTTTAAAATAATAAAAACGAAGCTATAATTTATATGCTTAATAAGAGCTTCTTTAATTTTCTTTATCATTCCCATCCCTATTTAGTGCTACTTATTCTGCATTATGAAGAATATATTTTGTTTATCCTAGGTTCGTATATTATTCTTTCTTGGAGCAAAGAAAGGAAAATATCATGGCTACAGTTGAAGCAAGCTGAATGCTGTTCTTCCAGTTGTTAATCCAAGAATCCAAGAATGAATCAAAGACAATCAAGAAAATGGCAACTGGGCAAAAGGGGGAGCATCAAATTCAAAACTACAATTTGCAATGTTTCAGGTAAATATACGTGCAGAATCAATGGGATTTTGAGACCATGTTCATCTCCCCACGAATTAATTTTATCAGTTTATAATTTTTTAAGTTATTTCAAAATATTGGCACCTCATATAAATTTTTTTAATAATTATCAATTATTTTATAAATTATTAATTAATAATTATAATTATTAATTATTTTTAATAATTAAATTAAATACATCTATGATATTTTTGTGTGACTATAACTATACTTGGATTCTGACTTTCCTCCTTTGGAAAAAAAAAAAAGGGGGGGGTTTATCAGCATATTCTATGCGTGTAAAATCTGCAAGAGATCATTCAGCCAACCTTTATTCCTCCGTTTTTGTTACTCCAAGCTCCAACTTTTTTGGTTGAAACATCCACATATAATTTGGGATGCATTTCGCAGTTTTTCCGGAATTCATTTCGAATTAAAATTGGTGTATTTCATGTCTGTGTTATCCCAATATTGACCACAAAAAGATAGAGGCACATGGCAATTGTGGCCAATAAAAAGCTACATACAGCCTTTCGAAGGCCCCCGAAAAAGGCATCCCGCGTTTTGTTGCTGAGGAAATTCCACTAGTGCAACGAAAACACGGTTTCAATAAATTCCGGTTGGTGCGCATCTTGTCGCTTATTTTATTTTTATTTTTTATAATAGCAATAATTAAAAGTTAATATGTTAATCGTGTTAATGGAGTATTAAACTCAAGATATAAATGTGCAAACTATGAGCTACCCTTTGAGACAGCAAGTAATCACGGACCACCACGTGGAATGCATCTTATCGCTTAAGTTGAACTTAAAAACAAATAAGATTTTATACTAGAATTTGATTCTAGCTTTCAAGAATATTCACCACTTGTCTCTTAAAATTGATATTCCGCAGCCTAAGACTTAAATAGGTGATAATCTTCTTTTGTTAAAAATAAGAGATTTTGAATTTAAGTCACATAATATATAAGTAGAATGAAATAAGAGATTAATGATATTACTTTTCATTATGTAATAAAATAAAATTTTGATACTCCAAATGTTATTTTCATTTATTTTATTACTTGCAATATTCAAACGTCTCCTGGCTAAGATTCAATTCTATACATAATTTATAGGTAGAGTTTCAAGAATTCCCCATAGGGATCGAATGTTTGATATCAATAATGCTATAATTACAATATTATATAAAAATTATAACTTTACAATTATTATGTAATGTTAAATAAGTATGATGTAGTATTATTTTAAATTCACAACTTCACATAGCATCATTGTAAATATAATATTTTCATACATAATTGTAGCTTTGGTAGAAATTTTGTTTAGGTAAATGTTTTACATAGGAGTGTGAAATCATAATAAGTTCTAAGAATATGGAAAATTAGAAGTTATGACATTATTATTATTGTTATTTATCTTAAACTGTATAATAAAAAGTAACAATTACTTATTTTTTAACTCATTTTACTTATATATTATATTACTTAAATTTAAAATTTTTTATTTTTACTATAACCTATTTAGGTTGTTAGCAGAAGGTTCGACATTTTAGATTTTGTTTGGAAACACGTCTCGATTTTTTAGCTTTTAGTTTTTATAACATTTTATTATTTTAAAAATATATAGAATATTAATTAAAATAAATATTAAATATATTTTATATATTTTTCAAATGTTAAAATGTTAAAAACCCTACAACTGCAATTACATACCGACACTGTTAAACTAAACCTTAATGTTAAGACTTCTACTAATTTACCAACAAGATGAATGGAATATAGTATAAGTATTATATATTATGTGGTTGAAATTAAATATCTTAATATTTTTAATGTTATTGTTTTGATTTTCAATTTTCTCACAAGTTCAAAATAATCACAAAGATTGTAAATTTTGATAAAAATTATAAAATTCACAGGCTTTTAGAAGTAAACAGGTTTGAAGATTCAATGGCAATAAAAACAAGAGTACAGCTTCAAACTCTTTTAGATGTTATGCATGTATATCATGCTATAAAAATGAAATACTTAGCAAAGATAAGAAATAGAATACAACAGACAAAAAGACACCGCCATATCCTAAAATTGAGAATCTAGTTTAAGTAGGTACATTACAATTAATTTTAGGGCATACATGAAAGCACAATTGCACCTGGGCCTAGAGGTCCACTGGCATTAATCAGCTTACTAGGTGCATTCCCCCATCCCTTGGGCGGGTTTCGAACCCACCCGACGTCAAAATGTTAAAAAAAAAAAAAGAAAGCACAATTGAAAAATTATTTTTTTTTTTAACATTCATGAGAAAAAAGCACAATTGAATAAAAATAAAAAGCAACCAGCACTGTATAATTACATTCTTTGGTGATATATTATAAATTTATAACTATAATATATTGATATATAATTAATTATATTTATTTGTGATATTACATATATATTTATATATTTATAATCATATTATATAATAGAGATTTATGTGTACCAATTTTAATTTTAAAAAATTAACTTATATTTAAATATTAAAATTTTAATTCAAAACTTAAGAATTTATTTTGCTAAATATTAATATTTAAATTTAAAATTTAATTACATATTTTACTATAATCAATTTTTAAATTAAATCTTATATACTATTATAATTATAAAATCCCGTTCTAAAATTTTTAATCCATGCATAAATGATGTAAAACGAAGTGAGATTGAAAATTGGTTAAACTAAAGATGAGAGTCTATTAAACGCGAGGGAATAAGATCCCGAATTTACAAAGGATAAGGAGGGATTCGGCTCCCCTAATTCCCACATAATGCAAAAGACCCATTGCCCTGCTCTTACGAAAACTAAACATCCCAAATTAACGATAGACATTAAAAACACAAAAAAAAAAAAGAAAAGAAAAAAAAAGACAGGACAATCCATAAATGGAAACCCCGTCTCAGGCACAGCAGTAAGACCACTGCTCGTCCTCAGCGGCCACGGAATCGACGGGGGCACTGTACTCATCTTCATTGCAGTAGTAAAACGCATTGTTATTCATTGCAGTTAGGGAGCAGGAAACGAGATATGGCATGTTGTGGAAGGAACGAGCAAGGCTGCTGGCTAAAGCAGCGCTGTCCGTTCCGTGACTATCATCACCACCGGAATCGCTGTGATCCTGCCCACAATACTCATCCGCACGGTGCTTCAGGGTCTGGAACATGAGCTCGGGCTCGTACTGCACCACTCGGAGGACGTCCCAACAGGATTGGCCAGGAACCGCCCGTGTCACCGCGAAACTGTGCGGGCCATCGCTTTGTGACACCCGGACGATGCTCGGACCTCCGAACAGGTTGTGGATTCCACCAAGGGCCTCCTCGTAAGCCCCGCCCAAGAACATCCCCAGATAGTACCGACCCCTGGCACCGCCAACACTACCACCGTTGCCCTCCAACTCATGTAAAGGCAAACTCGACTCACCACCAATGAACTTATTAATTTTCCCATCACTGTCACAAGTTAAATCAGATAAAATACCTCTTACTCCAGGCCTCTCATCAAGCCTATGGATTGGGACAATCGGAAAAAGCTGGTCGATTCCCCAGAAATCTGGAATTGAGGTGAAGATAGACAGATTCACATTGAAAGTACGAACAGGATCGGACGCTCCAATTTCTTTGGACACCATATCGCATATCCCATCAACAGCAGCTAATTGTTCCATACCAAGAGACCCTTCTTTGAATTGTTCAACACATTTCTGTTTCAGTTTATCAGCATAAACCAGGCAGTTCTCGTACTCACCTGAAATCGCCGCCTTCTCCAGGTTCAGGTAATCAGAGAGTACATCCTCCGGCAAACCCTCTGCAAAATACTGAAGAGCAAGCTGGTTCATTTCCGGCGAAGAGGAAGCCCTGGAAGAAAAGGCTTCAAAAATAAGAATGGAATGGTGGGACACGATGCCTCTTCCACTTTCACTGCAAAGCACCGGATGTTTAACAGATTTCCGGTCACAGACAAAGCGAACTGCACTGACAACGGCTGCAGCATACTCTTCAAGCCCATAAGCAACAGAGACATCCGAATCACCAGATTTTGATCCGTCATAGTCAATACCAAGACCACCTCCAATGTCAAAAACCTGCATGTTGGCACCCAAGCGGACTAATTCACAATAGATCTGTGCTGCCTCACCTACACCGTCTTGGAGAAGAGCGGTGGTCGGGATCTGGGATCCGATATGGTAATGTAGCAATTGCAGACAATCAAGCATCCCCACATGCTCTAGCTTCCTCACAACATTCAGAATTTGGGTCGTTGTCAAACCGAACTTTCCTTTCTCGCCGGAAGTAGACCCAAAATGACCCGAGTGCTTGGTTCTCAACTTTGCTCGGACTCCAATCACTGGACGGACACCGAGCTTCTGGCTCAAATTCACCACCAAATCCAGCTCCTCCTGTTGCTCAAGCACAATCACAGTATTGAGAGCGAGCTTCCTCGCTAACAGAGCAAGAGAAATATACTCAGCATCTTTGAAACCATTGCACACCAACAGAGCTTCTAGGTTCCCCTTGCAGAGGCAGCTCATGGCCAGAAGCAGTTCGGGCTTCGATCCGGCTTCCAACCCGAACCGGAATGGAAACCCGAATTTCACAATATCCTCAACAACGAACCTTTCTTGATTGCATTTCACAGGATACACACCTTGGTAGTGAGCCCCATAGCCCTGAGATTGGACGGCAAAATCAAAAGCAGATTGAAGAGACTCCAGCCGGTTCTTCAGCACATCCGGCAACCGAACGATGAGGGGCAGCTGCAACCCGAGTCCGCCTATGGACTTCGAATCTGACACCTTCTTCACGACCTTCAACAGGTCAATCTCCTGGTGAGGCAGAGTTGCCGCACCGTAAGGGCGGACGGAGATATTGCCGGAGGAGTTGACGGAGAAGTAAGGCGGGCCCCACCTATCGATGCGGTAGAGAGAGGCGGATAGAGAGGGCGTCCAAATGGTGGTTGACGGGTTTGAGTTCTCGATGGCAACCGTGGCGGTGGTGGCGGTGGCGGAGAAGGGGACCGAAGGGGCAAGGGAGCTGTCCCCAGCTAAGCACGCGGCGTAGCCAGGAGGCGTAACAGCAGTATCTACGCAGCACGCAAGGGCCGGCATCCCTGAACCTCCGCGACGATCTAAGAGATTAGTTAGTTAGAAGAAAAAAAAAAAAAATACTGGAAGGTTATAGATCTGATGTCCTCAAAGGTGGGGGCTTTAAAACCCGCCGAGGCCGAGGCCCCGGCTACCCCCTCAAAAGAAGCAGAAGAAGACTCAATTAAAATGGAAAAATCCCTCTCTCTCCCTACACCGCTCCGATTTTCCCAGCCGGACCGTTCAGAAGAAGAATTTCAAACCAAAAAACTATATTTCACTCTCGCCAAACAGAAAACCACACAATTTAAGTGGCGAAGAAGAAGAACACCATGCAGATCTGAGAAAGAAAAATTGAATTTTCTCGGGAAAATGAGGGAAACAGAAGGAAAACTGGGGCTTTGGTGTTTATAACTTTATATTCAGTGGGAGTGTTTAACGAAGGTTGTAAGTGAGCAAGAATTGCATGGGAGGGAGGGTGCTTTATATAGGGAAGTAGGGCTACCCGGGCCAGTTAAGCCGCGGGCCCGGAATTCTGCCCCGAAACAAATATCTTTTCAATTTCTCGTGCTACCTACTCTAAGGAGTGTTTATAACGTGTGTACTTAATTCCCAGGTCAAGAGCCTGATGGAGTGAGTATAAGCGTAATTTTATCATTTTCATTTTTGGCCGAAATGTAATTTTATTTTATTATTATAATTTTGTATACCTACATACTAAATTAATATTTATTAATTTAAAATTTTAATTTAATGTTGAAGATTTTTATATATTATTAAGTAGTTAATTTTTTAATATATAAAAAATTATAAATTTGTATTAAAAATTTAAATTATAATTTATTAATTTTTAATTAAATTTATTTTATATAATATTAATATTAATATTAATTTATGAAAAATATTTATTTTTTTAAAATTTATTTTTAGAACTTAAATTTTAAAAAAATCTTTTAGAAAAAAAATAAGGAAAAAAGATTCTCTTTTTTATTTTTGGGTTTTAATTTTTTTTATTATTACTTTTGGGTGTGAGATTCCTTGGGTTGCCGACTAATCAGCGTCGAGTTGCCGCGTGGCTTCTTAAGGTGGGACCGCCAGTTTCATATCGCCTTCTCTTTTCATTTTCTCATAAAAAACACGATATTTTGAGAGGAAAGCAGCGCGAAGTTTCTTACCTGATGAGGATCCATATAAACGGACTGGATTCTGCCACGTGTACCATAGACTGCCCCTTGCATTTGACATTTGGATCCTAAATGATGGATTCGCAAAAGATAAGGTCGTGATGGTCACGTGAGTTCATATCCGAAATTACCAAAATGCACTTTCAAATTACTTACCTGCCATTTAGAGTGCAAAATTTAAAGATTAACTTGCCTAATTTAATTTTTTTTAAAAGTAGTCAAACTTTCTACAGTAATTTACCGAATTTACCATTTTAATCTTGATTTTTAAGTAAAAAAATCGTTGTCGATAATTTTATAATCCTAGATATCGTTTGGGTTGCTTTCAAAGAGCACTTTTATATTTTTTTATATGGTATTTTATTAAAGTATTAATTTATTATAATTAGTATTTTATATAATTTAATAATTATAATGTATAAGATTTTTTAAAAATAATGATCAAATAATAATAGTTTTTAAAATAAAATACTAAAAGATTATTCACTTTACAATAATATCAAACAAAATCCTAATTTATTTTTTAACATTTTTTTAGAAAACCACTTTAATACATTATTTGATTGCAAGTTAACAGTGCCTAATTCGGCTTGATTTTTTGCTTTTAAGACAAAACAGTTTAAATAAAATTTAACGTACAGTACTATATGGTAAAAAATTAACATTTTTTTTATATAGAACATTATAACTTATTATTGTAAATATATCTATTTTTTTAAGTAGTGAGATTATTATTACACCTTAATTTAATAAAACTTCATCCTTAATTAACCACTGCGTAGACTGTTTTTACCCTTCTTAAAACAATGCTTTCATTTCTCAAATATAACCTTATTTGATTTCCAAAAAACTAAAGAGTAGGATCTACACATTCAAAATATTTAATTATAACATGATAATAAAAGGGATTCAACAAAACTTAACTTATGTCCTATCTAATTAATAATTATAATTGAAGGTGTTGATTAATTTTTCCTTTATCACTTTAATATTATTAACCATTTTCGAGTCTGTATTCTCTCTTTTATTTCAGGTTTTTCCATTTCTTTCTCCCCTTTTCCCCTTCCTCACACAACCCTCTCATATTTCTCTCCCTCCGCAGAAATGCAAGTCTTCATGTAAATCTCTTCTCCTCTCACATCTTTCTCCCAACCTAGCTAATTTCATGTTAAAAATAAAAATAAAAATGAAATGCTGAACATTCTCACCTGTCTGTGCAGTAAAATCGCTCTCACCGGAGTTTTTATTGGTGGGTTTAATCCAATGCTTGATTATCAATGTCATTTGCGGGAAGAGCCAAGGGAATGATGCACCGGCCACCTCCCACGGCAGGAGTGATGCTTCTTCCGGCACAATGCGGACGCAAAATTCGGTGCATAAAATTATTAACACCCAACTAGCCATTTTGGCTGTGAAATTTGGTTTTCAAATGGGAGTCACGGGTTCCCACCCCAAATAACGAAGAAAAAGAATCCATTAATTCCAACTCCAAAAAAAGATTTTTACTGTGGCGTAGCGGAGAGAAAAGGACGAGATATTAAAATAATCGCGAGAAAATAGGTTGGGACTGGAGGCGGAAAGAGGGTGATGCAATCCTTATCTCCGAGAGAATCTCCGACTTTGACGATTCGACCATTGGACCGGAAATAGGGGTTCTTTCGACGACGCGCGGGTCACCCACGCTAATTAAAAGGCTCATCAAATAAAATAAATAAATAAATAAAATTTTTTTGAAATCTATTTTAAAATGTTGAGAAACAATTTTTTTTGGAAGAGAAACGTTTTTTTGAATTTTTAAAAATTAGGAGTAAATTTATATTTAAATTATGTTATTTTAATAAAATTTTTATTAAAAATAAAATATTTATTTATAAAGTATCAATAAAATTATTTTAATTTTTTT